CGGACGTGGCCGGGGCAGCTGCTGCCCCTCCTGCCTGGTGTCAGCTCTCAGCTGCTGCGCGGCTGCTTGCTTGGGCTCGATAAACTCCTGCCTAATCCTCTTGGTGACGAGGCTGTGCAGGGGATTAGCATTTCTCCTGCTCTACCTTTGGTGGCCATAAGGACAGTTGCTGCTCTGCCACTCTTCATTTGCTCTGCTCAGGCTTCATCTTCTGCAAGCAAAGGACTTGTGATTTATTTTTAACTAACTACTACTTTTAGCTTTCATTAGCATTCAGGTAAAAGGCTGTGCAGCACGCTCTGACTCCCGTCCAAGGCCAGACACTGGCTATCCTGGGGATCTTTAGTCACTCAGGCAGTTTAGGAAGAAAAACTGAAGTCTTCAGAAATAAAATAGATGTTTTAGGCACAACTGCCAGAGTCAGACTCCAGCATCCATCTCTCAACGCTCTCACAGGTGATGGTGCTTACGTTCCCAAAGTGATCAGAGACCCCACACACTGTCCTCCCCCCGCCTCACAGTACCACTGCAGGGAAGCCACAGAGCTGTGGCCATCAGTGCTTGTTCCGGGACAAGCGACCGTTGGCGCTGCTGGGGCAGAGCTCACCGGGCCCCATGGCCTCTTAATCTCACCTGTCTCATGGCAGCCGAAGGGCTGTGGCCCATCAGCAGGGCCTGGGAGGGAATAGCTGCTTTAGCTGTGAACCCAGCCTTTGCTATTTTGCTTTCTGCCCTGATCAATGTGCTGGCTCCCCAGGGCTGCTGCCATCAGACACTGTCCTCACCAGAACAGGCTGTCCCCTTCCTTTAGTGACAAACACTGCCAGAGGCAGGAAAGCTTGCATTTTTCCCCTTGTCCCTGCAGCACCCCTAACACGTATCACAGTGAAAGTAGAGCTGGTTGACTGACACTTTGCCACAAAAAACTTCTGTACGCACAGTACTCCAAGCTACATGAGCCCTTTGCTGTTTCTCTGCAGGTAAATGTTCTGGCCAAAAAGGTACAGCAGCTTTCCTCGAGGTCAAGGAGGTAAAGCAAAGATTTTTACCCTCTGAAGTTCAGAGGCTTTTGCAATCCTTGCTTTGGAACAGCAGTGGTGGGAGAAAAAAATGCTTTTGTACTGAGGCCAAGTAATCAAAAACCATCAGCTAAGAAAGACTTCTTTTCTGCCGAACTATGGCAAAGCAAGGCCTTTTAGGAGTTTATGCTATTTCCTAGCTCTTCCACCCCCCTGTATTTAACCTCTGTAACTTAAAACACAAAAAAGTAGGACAGCTTTGCTGCTCTCCCATTAAGCTGTTACATCCCGACACCCCCCGCAGATAAGCGGCCACCAGCCCCTGACAGCAGAGTGCCAGCCGCTCGCGCTACTGCGGGATAAGCCAGCTCCCACCGTGAACAAACGTGGAGCTGCCTTGATCCCTGAACCAGCCAACAGAACAAGGGAGAGCTTCGCTCCTGCACTTTTGCTTCACTCTTAGGTACTGCTCTGCACTGACTGGGTTGCCTGGAGGGAGCTGAAAAAGACCCGAGACACCAGGGAAGCAGAGGTGTAGCAGAATGGAATGAACGCTCAGCTGTAACAAGTGCACGTGCACGCACTGAGGGGCTGTAAGTGATACAACTTCTCCCATGGCACTCCCTCCTTCGGCAATGTTTAAGCAGCCACAAACACACTACAGCGCCAGTAACAAAGGCAGTTTGCCACCTTGAGAAAACCAAAGCTTATTGCAACATCAGCATTGATATCTTGACCTGGCTACTGTGAAAAGCACCTAACACCCATCCCTCTGTGTACTCTTCCAGTGGCAATCCAGACTGCACGTCCCTTATCTGCGGGCATTCTGCCAGTATCAGCAAGAACTGACTTACATCCAAGTCCTACCTTGAAGCAGGATTAGTTGAACACAGCTGGAGATTAGTGCCTGGCAATCCTTTCAAGTACTCAATGTTATGTCTACCAGAGGAAAGAAAGCACAAAGGAAACCTCCTAAGGGTCACGAGACAAGGAGCAGCTACTATGCAAGAGTGGAACAATTCCAGCAAAGTCTTTATAAAGTAGATGGAGCATAAAAAACACCAGGAGTCAAATTTTGGACTGAAAAAAACATGAGAAGAGACAAACATGTAACTTTATTGTTTATGTACAAATGACAGAAGTTTGTATTAAAAAGAGAATCCACCCAACCTCAAAGATAGCAAAGAGCAAGACAGCTTTGCGCTCCAGCCTTCCCTGCATCTAAAAGCACTGCATAAATTTTAGGGGATGGTGTTTAAAATTAAAGTTAGAGAAAAGGGTTAACCACCACCTTCTCTGCTTGAGTAAGAATCAAAATGAGCTGTTCCACAAAATGAAGAACCTTCCATTCTACATGGATTAAAACAAAGAAACCAAAAGTCAATTTGTTTAACTATACACTTTGGTTTAAAAAACAACAAAAACAAAACAAACAAAACTACAAAGCTAAGTATCAGCAACAAAAGTAATCTAAGTCCTACAACATGGATGGGACATACTGAATCATACCCCAGTTCCAGTGGAAAAAGAAATACCTCTCCGTGGGTTTGCAGATGACAGGGGTGGCAGCAGCAAGATCAGCCAATTTTAGAGCGTTCTCAACTGAGGTGGAAGCACGGAATAGTCAGGAATTCAGGACTACTACTACTACTACACCTTAGTCTTCCTGCAACTCAGGTGATTTAAAAATGATGCAAAGTACATGGTCCAAGATTTTCTCCCCCCATCTAAGTTCTTTAGAGTGAGCCACTCCCATCTGCAGATACTTGGCCAGAGAGCTGCCATCGTGCTCATTCAGTCGACTGGCATTTTTCTCAGTGGGGATTCATGTAGACCTAAATCCCAGAAGCATCAGCACTGATGAGTCTAGTAGTCCTGCAGAGAAAAGAAAGCGCAGGCACATTAAGACCTTTCTACTTTCAATTCTGCTTGCAGAGCTGGGATTCTCAGTCTTCTCTCATTTCTACGTACCATTAGATGCAGGCAAAACAGAAAAGAGGTTTTTTTTCTTGTAGCGAAACATTCAAAAGAAAGGACCCTTCAAAACCTTAGTTCAAGAATGCATCAACCAAAACCAGATGCTTTTAATGTTCCAGATCATGACAAGATAACAGGACGCAAAGCAGCTTTTTCCATAAAAAGTGCACAGGACTTAACTGTGACCTAGCTTCGTAACAAGCCTACCTGGGCTTATTTATTGTTAAATCCACAAGACAATGCTTATTTCATACCATGATATTCCTCAACCGTGAAAATAAGACCTTAAATTACAGCAGAGGGAGGCTTTTTAGGATTAGGAGTCAGTCAGCCACTCAAGTCTACAGATGAGCAATGAAAACAATGACAGAGCACTGATACTTACGGCTCTTGGCTTTTTGTTTAACTTGAGATCAATCCTGTGGTTGGAAAGATAAGAGAAATGTCCATTTCAATACATTAAACCACGACTAGAGTTCAAAGAACCAGCTACTGCATATGGCACAGGCTACAACAAAGACTATTTGGTTAATTCAATCCACATTCTCAATTCGGCTGAGCCAAATCACTGTCCCAATATTACTGGACAAGAGAGCAGCAAAGAGACGGAGAGTGGATTTTTTATTATTTGCCAAAATGCATATTCCGTCCACTCAAAAAAAGAGTTAATAAAGGTTCATAATAAAAATCACAGGGAAGTTATGCAGCATAAAGAAATAAGGTTAAATATGCATGCTCTATGTTAATTTGTTAGATGTGTAACTATGCCACAGGTAATTATTCAGACATAGTGGTAATGGTTATTTACTTGGAATAGAGATAGGAGTTTAAGATGACAGGGATTATATGAGCAAAGGTACTGAGTTTATTACATTTTTCCAGAAGGAAATATCCAAGTCTACACTAATCTCCTTAAGAAGCAAAGCCAGAAGAATCAGTTTTTAAACTAAGTTTTTAAGTTAAAAAGTTTATCTATTTAAAAATGAAATAGAAAGGTAAAGAAGAGTGAAGTTAATTTAATTTTGCTGAAGTTATTAAATAAAATGTTACCTCCATCACGCTTTTCTGTTTTTAAAAAAAACTTCCCAGCCTAACCTAATATACATACCTACAATTAAACAGATAAACTATGGGTTAGAAAGGTCTCAAAAGGCACATTGGTGTCTACACACTAACAACACAGCACAAGTACTAATTCAAGTCAAACTTACTCAAAGTCATAATCAAACATGCCAGACGGGCTGAGGGGCAGCATTTGAAAGGAAGAAAGCAGTAGAAATTAATATACTAATGAATTAAATAAATTAGTTGATTAGCCACCCTAGCGAGATTACTAAAAAAATAAAATAAAATAAAATAAATAATAAAGCCAGTGTTCAAATGCCATAAAGTTCTTAAGATATCTTAACCAGAACTGGGCACAAAAAGCACTACAGATTTGGCAATCCAGAGTCACCCTCCCCAACTGGGTTTCTGGGAAAAAGAGGTGTTAGAACAGAGGCAGAGTGGGTTTACGGAGGGAATTTTAGGTGCTGAAAAAGGAAGCTATCAAATACTTGAGAGTGCACACTAGCTCACAGGCAGAGAGAAAAACCCATTTGCTTGCAAAAACAAACGAGCAGGTGGTCAGAAAGCAGCGGCTTTGTCTACTTATTACAGCAAAGCAAAGCTTGTTCAGGCAGAGGCGGAGACGACACAGAACTAAGTGGCCAACTTTGCATTCCAATATTCTCATAGTGCACACGCATACACACATCCTCTTGCACGCGCTTCCTTTAGGGACCTAAAAAGAGAACACGCTCGTTTGGCCCCATCTAATACAGTTCGGTGACATTCCCACCCCTGGTCTCAGCATGCACGCGGACACCACAGCACTGTCTCTGGAAACAGTTCTGCCCCAAAGCTAACAACTGTATTTGCTGGAAAGGACTTATCATCAAATCAGCTGTAACTTAGTAGCTTTTCAGCACCGAATTTCTAAGAGGAAACAGTATTGTTTTCGCCTGAAATACTTTTTAGCCATGAAAATTGCTGAGCACACAGAAAATAATCATCTTGGCCTCCCTGTGGTCTCCAAGGGAACAGAGGAGGACTTAACAAAGAGACTGTAACTTCCACCTGATTCCCTGGTTTTAACTGATCGAAGTTGAACTGCCTATTGACACCAGTTCTGCCCAGTCTGAATCCAACTCTCCACATTGCTCTTGGTGGCATATGAAGCAGAAAATCCAGGCAGTCAGCGCACCCTCAGGGCGCCTGTTCCCAACACCTCCCAGTTCTTCAGGAACAGGTGAACGGAACTCAAACATATGCTGGCAAATGGAAGAGCTTCCAAAATGCCAGTATTTTGTTTTATTTTTCTTTTTCTTTTTTTTTTTTTTTTCCAGCTGGTATCAATACATTAAACAGCCACGCTGGAAAAGTGAAATTGATTCAAGGCCTTCAGTGCTCCCTGCCAAAAAAGCCTCCTGCAAGGATCTATTCTGTATTGACACTCAAGAAACAGACATACAGGTCTCTTCCAAAAGAGCACTCTGGTCTGCAATGCTTTTTAAAGCGCTTCGCTATACTTTTGGTAGGCTGGGACTAGTTTGTTGTTTGGGGTTTTTTAACCTAGATATACTTAAACATTGTTTGGTCTTTTCTGCCAAAATTTAGGGAGTAGTCGGTAATGGCAATCACAATTTTAACAGAGTTTTTATTACAGACAAACTTAATTATCATCTTCTTTTAATTACCTATCTGGCCATGGTAAGCATTACAAAATAGTCAATTACTAACTTACTAAGCCCTTCCATAATGCCGACGTGTCTGACGTATCTCTTAGGATGGTAAGAATTGCCATACCAGATCAGCCCAGGGCTCCTCACGTCCAACACTCTGTCCCCGACAGTAGCCAGCATCAGCTGCTTCAGTGGAAGGAATACAGAAGCAACCCCAAAGCAACACAACCTGCCAGTAGGGCAGTTTCTTCCTAACTCCTGTCACTAAAGTTCAGGTTATGTAACAGAGCAAAAGAATTTATATTATTTACAGCATTTGTATTGCATCCCGCTGCGTCTGCAGTGGATTGGTTTGCTGTCGATGTATATGCTTAGCTGAATATTTTGTAATTTGTTTGAAATAGCAATTTTCTTAAGCTGTACTTGAGTTTTACAGATTGCTTCTCTGAACTTGTTTACAGATGTAGTTTCTTGCATTATTCCTGAACTGCTTTCCAATTGTCTACAGGCAAAAAAAAAAAAAAGTTTTGAACTGCTTTGGATTCTCAGCTCATGAGGAACCAAAGGGACATCCAGTACTTTAGGATGTTTGCCCAATTAAGACTGCTGTAGGAAGACAATTCTGACCTAAGAATTAAAGACACACTAATGACTCAAAACCTAACGAAGGAGAAAAAGTAGTTAAACCATTTTTCAAGCACTATACCTACCTCCATGTCTCCCAAACCAATCTTCCCCCAGCAATTATTTGTAAATTTTTGCCACTTTTCTTTAAAACCCTTCTCTCTCGTAGTTGTATGGGAAAGTCCCTTAAAGAGGAAAGCCCATCCATACGCAAAGTAAACAAGCTCAAAGTTAGCAAGCGCACTTGATTTTTAAAAGCTCCTTTACTTCTAATAACCTTTAGGTACCCGTTCCAGCAATCATTTCAAGAGAGGTGCAGTTCTGCAGTAAATGTCTCCTCCTTCCAAGAGCATGCATTTCCATGTTTTTTCCCCTTAAGGCCCGACTCCACAGCGGACTGTCATACTCTAGAAATCCTTTGGCTAGCTCTGCTGACGGGCACTGAGACATGGTTAACCAGCAGGTTATGTTGGCCCATGGAGAGCAATGCTGTAAGGCAGGGAGTTTGTTTCAGATTTCTGAGCCATCAGCCCACCATGCTGCATCGTGCCTTAGGGGCATACTTTAAGGGGCAGAACTGGTGACCTAAATTCAACCATAAAGAGTTCAGGAAATCTTTGTTTTACATGAATTTCAGGTCAGTGTAATAACAAACACTCTGAGGTCAACATGACAAAGCAACTCTTCAATGCCATAATCAGAAGAGACTCAGTTTGGGACTTGACAGCTGAAAGAGCTTGAAGTGGAAATCTTAGTGAAGATACTGGGTGTCCACAACCCCCAAAACATTCCTATCTACTTTTTCACCCTCCTTCTCCAAAGAGAGTATGGACATTTCTATCTTACTTGAATCTGCAGAAACGAAGAAGCAAGCACAGGGGGCCAGGACTGCATCTTCCTTTATTCTCCTGGACAGACAGGAGAATTAAAAAAGCCTGGCCAAAAGCATAGCTGTACCAGAACTGGTGTTAGTACCCTGTGCTGCTTGTTTATCTTCTTCAGCATGCTTTCCTCTCCTTGATACAACAAGGGCAATAGGGTCCTGATGAACACTACAGGGTCCATACAACTAAAACCCAGAAAAATTACCAAAACAAATGACCCGAGCTGCTCATTATTCTAACAAGTTACTAGTTCCTTTCACATAAAGTGAATACAACAGCTAACCATTCAGAAGGCATGACAAGAAGGTTGCTGGTACCACTAACCTGTGTCGATTTTTATTCTTCCGTTTTTTGTGGCTGCTGTGGTGGCTCCCAGAAGAAGTAGAAGAAGCAGCCTTCTGGGGTTTCACCCCTTGCACAGACCCATCCAGCTCTTCAGCATCCTCCTGGTTGGGCTCATTCTCCTGATTATGAAAGTCTGGAGAAGTGTCACTTTCTGTGCCACTACCTGGCTCCCCTAGAGCACGACAAAGACAGATGAGCACAATGGTTACCTCCCCGCAGCTCACATCCCAGGCTGCCCTGGCAAAGGCCTGTGTGCAAGAAGCAACCCCCAGCAACAATACACGGGGCAGCAAAGACACACGGAGCCTTACGGCACCAGGAGGGAAATAAGAGAACCTGAAAAATATTTCTGAAGGACAGCAAGCTACCTCCTCAGCAACTGAAGCACACTAGAGTTGCATCCGATTTGGTACTGACTACAAAAATATTTTTAAAAATCCTTCACACAAGTGGCTCCCCTCCATGTCACTTGCAGCTGACAGACACACGAACAGAAACGCCTTGCTTCAGCTCTTCTACCCTCTTTCTCCAAAGAGCACCAAATCCACTTAAATATGTTTTACGGACAATAAACCCTTGTTGAGCATAAAAGTTTACTTGAGAAAGGAAGCTCAACTTTACGTCTGTTTCTCACAGTGCTACTTTGCTGACTTTCCTAGCTAGAGGCTGTGCTGGGAGCACTCAAGAGCTGGCCTAAGAGGAGCAGCCGCCAGTCCCTGGATGGGGAGTGCTACGAGGGAGCAGCGAGTACAGCACAGAGCCAGAGAACTGGAGACAGAGCTGAATGGTGAGGAGAAGTGTAATCCTTTCCAAATTCTGAGAGAAATGAAAAAGTGACTTACGCTTCTCAATGAGCTGGTCCTGAACTCCAGCTAATGCACTGACCGCCTAGAAAACAGAAAAGGATGTCAATGAAAGCAGTAACTTGCTTACTGCTTTGCAAATGTTCAGAAACACAGAGATCATCTCACAGAGAAAGGCACATCAGGCCTTTGTGTGAAAGAGCTTACGACCTAGCACCAGCACAGCAGAGCAGAAGGGGGTTAGGAGCAAAAACATAAAGACACGGATGGCAGTGACAAGTGTGTGGCATGGGTGGTTCTTGACTGCGATTCCCTTTCACCTCTCTGGGCACTGGGAAAAGGATTTCTGAAAGAGGCTGCAACGTGGGATGAAGATGCTTAGGTCGGGGAGATAGGACAGGTACAGGAGCTTAAATGGAAAATTGGTCCTGCAGCAGCCCAGTTGACCACCAGCGAGGAACACCAAGGGATAGGGACAGGGCCAGGGCTGGGGACATCTGCTCAGCCCCGCCAGGACCCAGCCCAGCACTCACCGCTGCCGAGGTGACCGAGGACTTGCTGAAAAGCCTCTCAGCCTCCTTGAACTTGCGGTTCCTGCGGTCGTTTTTGCTGTTGGAGTTCCTGAAACAGAGAGAAACAACATCGCGGGGGCCCGGCGGGCCGGGCAGCGCCGGGCAGGGCCAGGCAGGGCCGGCGGGACTCACTTCTGGTTGGTGAGGTAGCGGTCCCAGCCGCGGATGATGTTCCCGTACATCTGCGTGTCCTCCAGGTAGCTGCCCTCGAAGGCGTAGATCTGCCGCTCCAGGTTGGCCAGCGT